ATTTTATATGCACCTTAATATGCATTTATATAATTATATATATACAAAGTGTATACATACTATAGATCCATAATTTCTTTTGCTGTTATGCATGTTAACACAAAATTTGATCGTTCAACATCTAATGATTGAATAATAGCATTCATAGCCAGAGGCGAGGCGTCGAATGGTTCAGAGTGTTCACTGAACACCTTAACAAAGCTTCCTTTTTAGATTTTTTTTTATTAGGTAAATAATCTCGCTATTTTGCTATTTAACATTTTTTATAATAGCTTTTCCAAACATATTAACATAAACACAAAACGTATAATACAAACAAAATCACATATACAAATGTTAGTTACACCCAACATTACATTATTTTATTAATTATATAAAAGAGAAAACACATTTCTCTTGAAATATACTAAGGTGCAGATTAAAAACTGCACCGCGTTGCTTACAAAGCATGCAAATGAAATAACATTCACATTGGGACTATGTTCAATATTGAATACACAACACAAAACATACAAACAAATATGTGTACGTAAAATAATCTTAACTCTTAAATTAATGCGTGCAAGCAGTTCAATAAAAAAAGTGCACTTCCAATGTTATGCAAAGTAAATACAAAAGAGAAAAGAAATGACTGAGCGAAAATCGCTTTACATTTGACGAGAGGATCATTCCACTAAACTGAACCAAAAGTTTATACAAAGCGTGCAAATTCAATCAAAGTCACGGTTGCTGTTTTATATGGGGAAATGGTTCAGTATAAAAACTGAACCGGGCATTGTAAATACAAAGTAAAAGAGTAAATGAATGCATGAGAGTTTCTTACTCTTATATAGAGGTTGGAAATAAATCAAAACAAAGTCATAATGCAATTTTATACTAGAAAATGGTAAAAGTAAAGAAAGAGATTAAAGAAATTTGAAGTGAAAAATAATATTTAGAAATGAATAAATGTGTGATTAAAGATTTGATTCAATGTCATTTTTTAAACGATCTTCTGAAAAAAAGATTTTAATTCATAAAATGAATAAACCAACTCCAGATATGAAGAATTTGATACCTGTTGTAAAAATGTCGAAATCTATGGTAAGTCGTCGTTTTCCTACAGCTACAGCTTTATGGTAAATAAAAACCAGTGGATCACAGGCTGCGAACATTTAAATAAATTGTTTTATTGGATTTGTACGCTATTTGCTTGTGGAAGGGACAAAACTTAGAAGTAGGGGGAATACGTTATAGTTGGAATTCTGTTTTGATTAAATTGTGAACACCTTGCCAAAAAGCTGACGCCTCGCTACTGTTCATAGCTCTTCGTTTATTTCTTTCGTATAATTCTTTTTATTTTTCTTCTACATTTAAAGAGGGAACTATACCCTTTATATTTTATATTAAACCTTTTGCCTTCATATATGCTGTGATTTGGAACTTCCATAATCGATAATTCGATCCATTCAGAATGTGACCACTGATATTAAGTTCTTCCTTGTCCATGATAACTGGAATTGCAAAAATTGCGAAAATTGATAACCAAAAATATTTTTATACGCTACATAGAGATGACTAAAAAAACTTTTACTTGTTTAATTATTGGGCAGTGTGCTGTGTTCTGGGCTCTAAAACCTAATGGTTTTTTATGATTTTATTGTTTAATCGTAAAAAAATCGTGATACATAAATCAAAATGACCTATTTAACTAACTAAAAAGAATATACCATACATATATATAACCATGAAATATTTTTTATAGAATGGAAACTCCGCCCATCTCGGTCAAAACTAAGAGAAATTGCTTAAGAAAATTAATTTTTTATAACATTTTTGTCACACGTATTAAATAAGTATGATTACACCACACTTATGCCACTTTTACGCTCTTTCAGGGCTGCTGCATAACTTTTTTTCTACTTGTACACAAGTTTTTATTTAAGCAGATATATGTTATAAATACTCATAAATAAGCATACATTACATATAAATTAAATATTATTAAATTAAATGGATTTATTTACAATAACATATAATTACGCAAAAAGTTTTTTTGATTGTAATTGAGTATATTACATAATTATTTATATACTTTTCTTAGCTATTTATATATTTTTGATGGGCGGAAAATAGGTCTGAAGGGTTTTATATAATATGTTGAAAACAATTAAAATCTATTTTAGCTTGAAATTGAAAAAATATGTTTTGAAATTAAATTCAGTATAATATCATGTTAATAATGTTTTCCCTTTAAATAGCTTTTTGGAGTAAAAGTATTTATGAATTGGATATATTATACAATGAAATTTAAAGTTATATGACATTAATATATATAATTTATATACAATTGCATGCAGCATAAAATTCACATATCTATGCAAATAAATTGTATACTGAAAAATAATAATAATACGCCTTGCTCGACGTCTATGATTTTGAGCAGCCTCTTATACTGGGCATAGGCTGTCTATAAGCCGCTTCCACCTTTCGCGCCGTAACGCTACGTCCTTTATGTCTGTAATGTTGCTTATGTTTCTTCCTAGGGGCTGCAAAATGGTGTTTATTTCATTCAACGTTGACTTTCTCCATGTTGTTTTTGGACGGTCTCTTCCTCTACTACCTTGCGGGTTGTATACCAACGGCTGTTGACAAATTTCGGTGGGAGCTTTTCGAAGCGTATGCCCGATCCATCCAAATTTTCTTTTACGAATTTCAAGATTGACATCTCTAACATTTTTTCTGGTCCAAAGATCGTGATTTGATATTCTGTTTGGCCAGAAGATACGTAAAATTCTGCGGAGACAGCGGTTAACAAATACTCTCAGCTTTCTTTGTATGTTTTCTGTAACAAACCAAGTTTCGCAACCATACAGGAGAACTGAAAGAACGCATGCTTTAAAGATTTTTATCTTTGTGCTTAAACTATAAGTATTGGAGCTCCATACCTTACGAAACCTTGTAGAAGCACAGATGGCTTTCTTTATTCTACTTATCACATCTTGCACTGTACCTGCATTTTCAGACACAATATTCCCTAAATACTGGAATTCATTTACGCCCTCAATGGTCTCCGTTTCCAACCTCAAAGGTTCGTCAATTCGATTGTTTATTTGAACTTGTTTTCTGTGCATTTATTTTTAGATCGACTTTGCACAACTCTAAAGATAGGTCATTAAGTTTCTGTTGCATATTATCAAGCTTATATGACAACTCGCATTTGTCGTCAGCATAGTCCAATCACTCTAGTGTACGGTGACAGTGGGTTCCATACAATACCTCGTACCTTTCCTTTATTTGCTCTCTTGACCACTGCCTCAAGCACAATTAGAAACAGCAGTGGGGAAAGGACGCATCCTCGACGTACACCAGAAATTGTACAAAAGGGCTCAGACAGTTTGTTGTCGTGTTAAACTGAGCACTTAAATTGATCATAGCTTTCTGCAATTACTGAGACTATTTTAGCTGGGATACCAATATTTTTCAACTCTGCCCATATGTAATTTCGATTTAACGAATCAAACGCCTTATCAAAAACGATGAAAAGCAGATAAAGAGGGGATCGCATCTCTATAGATTGTTCTATGATAATTCTAAGACTGTTAATGTGGTCAACACAGGATCTTCCGCTTCTGAAACCCGCTTGCTCTGGTCGTAGTAGTACTTCAACAACTTTTACCATTCTTTCTAGAATAATTTTCATAAATATTTTCATCACAGAACTTAGAACCGTAATGCCGCGCCAGTTGTTACAGTCACTTAGGTCTCCTTTCTTGGGTATTTTGATTACAATGCCATGAAGCCAGTCAGAAGGATAAGTTTCTGTTTTCCAAATGGTTTTGAAGAGCGGGTATAAGATATCCAAGTTTTGCTCGTTGTTCTATCATTATCCAAGTTTGTGCTGAGATAAAGTCGTCTTTGGAATTATTTGACGCTCTGCCTAAGGTTTCCATACAGGTTTCATTATTAGCCATTTTTTTTTGTTCCAACAATGTTGAGGATTTAGGTTGTCAGTAGGAGCGTATACTTTTTCAGAGATGGAACGTGAAAAATTTTGCTTTATATTTGGTGCTTTCAATTTAGAGACCTTGTATTTGATTCTGCTACAGTTAACCGCCTTCTTAATTCTTATTGGGTTGATTAGTATTTTGCCAACTAGTAGGTGGTGATCAGAGCTGATATCGGCACCTCGTTTATTTCTTACATCAATTAAATAGTTACTCCATTTTGCCGTAACACAAATATGGTCTATTTGATTTTGTGTTCTCATATTAGGTGATACCCACGTTACTTTATGTATTGTTTTATGGGAGAAAGGCGTGCTTGCAATTTCGAGTTCATTTGTACCACATAGTTCTACAAGGCGTTCACCATTGTCATTCATGTCACTAAGACCATGTTTCCCAATGACGTGCTCTAAATTTTCATTTACTTCTCCAATTTTAGCATTACGGTCGCCCATCACAATTTTTAAAATCTTTCTTTGGTGCTTCAGCAATTGCAGCACTTAGCTTGTCATAAAAAGCGTCTTTATCATTTTCGTTGGCATCTTAAGTAGGCACATGGTACTGAACAATCGATATATTTTTCGAACAACACTTTAATCTTATCATCATTATGTGTTTATTTATAAACTTGAAGTGTATCACTAAATCGCTGAATTTAGCATTTACTAATATTCTTACACCATATTGGTGTAAGTCATTTTCATTTGGCATGCCTGCCCAAAACATAACGTGACCTTTTGGGGTTCTAAATTGTCCACATGCGTTCCATCAAAGTTCGCTCATGCCCATAAAGGCTTATTTGTAATTTTCAAGTATTTTTGCCGCTTGGGCCAATTTACCCGCGCTATATAACGTTTTTACATTATAGGTTCCAAATCGTAATCCATTTTCGTTGCGTTTTTTCGTCATCAAGTTTGGGTTCGGGTTCACTTTTTCATTTCTTATAGACTTTCTGGGAATCGGTTTACGCTTCAAGTACAATGAGTGATCGGCCCGTTGTACCCTAACCTGATGATGGGGCTTCCATCAGAGCCATCAGGTATGACTGGAAAGTTACTATATTGAAAAATATAAATCATTAATTTTTATAATAGTATTTCAGTGTTAAACAATCAAAAGTGATATTATAATTTATTTTACTGATTTTCAGAAATAAATATGTAACTGAGTGTATAGCATTGTTCACTTCAAGAAATAAAACATTCCAAAAAACATTTAATATATATTGTTTTTCGTTAGAAATCGTAGAAATTTATTTCAAAATTAAATAAATTTTTAAACAATCGCAATAAATACTAATTTTATTAAGGTCCGTATTCGGAGCGCTCAATTTAGAAATAATCGTACGTTTTGAGATGGTATTAGTGCAATTTCTGAGAGTGTGTTTGTTATTTTGTGTTGTGCTCATATAAGTTTCCGTTCTATATAAAATCTTTTTTGTATATAACATACAAGTTTTTATCTGTCAGAATAAATACTATTAACATTGCCATATTTGTTTTTATTCTTCAATGTGTATTTCCAAAAATATTTCTCATCGTCGACATATAATTTCGAAAATTTGTTTCTCGAATCTAAGACACCACATATAGTCTGCATTATTAGTACAATACAATAAACATATAGTTTGCATTATTAATGCAATATATTATTATAATAATCAAAAGTAAAAAGATTTTACTTCTGTTGCGTTGCTTACTAATATATGTTTTTTTTCTCTTATAGATGGTTTCATCCAACAATAAGTGGTTTAGAAGCTGAGAAATTATTACAAGAGCAGGGTTTTGACGGTTCATTTTTGGCTCGTCTGTCATCATCGAATCCAGGAGCATTTACATTATCAGTGCGTCGTGGTCAGGAGGTTACTCATATTAAAATTCAAAATAATGGCGATTTTTTTGATCTTTATGGAGGTAGAAAACACATTTATAAGAACTTCCAGTTAACAAAAACATTAACTAATATTGCAGGTGAAAAATTTGCGACACTTCCCGAATTAGTTCACTATTATATGGAGAATGGAGAGCTAAAAGAAAAAAATGGACAAGTGATTGAATTAAAACAACCTCTTATTTGTGCGGAACCAACAACTGAAAGGTATGCTTATAGATAATGAAAAGCTATTATACATGCTTTCTGAGAAATGCTAATTATTTTAAAATATATTTATATATTTTTTTTATTTATCGAAAATATATTATGGAGGATTTCATATAGGGATTCAAACTTCTAATGAAACCTAATTCTAATTTATCATTCATTTTCATTTAGTTTCCTGAAACTTTATGTACAGTGTACAAAAAAAGATTATCCATTTTCTAATTCCGAAAATGAATCAACATATTTATTTTTTTTAACTATACGTGTTATATAACTTGTTTTATCGCTTTATTGGTGATTATGAGGCAGTAGCGATCAGAATTGACGACCACAAGTCAAGACCAAATGTCGCAGTGTACATTGGCTTTAATACATGCAATATTATCATATCATATCACATCATATGATCTTTTGACAGTTCTTTATGTAGCTTCACTGCCCTAAATGCGATAATTTTGTTTGTTGACATTTTCATCAAGTGAGAAATGAACCTTGTTATTCATCAAAATTCGATATTAATATACCAACTACAGAACAATAATTATAAAGTTTGCAGCTCAAATCACCATACATTTCTATCACATTTCATCTTTTCTTCATGTGCGAAAAAGTTGGCCGCACATTTATACGTTGCATATGTTGAGTGATCGAGTTTGTTTGAACACTGCATAAACACGTATGGTTCTAAGTACAAACTCTTTTGTTTGAAAAAACTTGGTTTGATGTCATAAGATATATGTGAAAAGTTGTGTTTATTCCATGTTGATATAATAAACTTATATATAAATTATTAATTTAATTTGTTTAATATGTTATTTTGTTAATGAATTGTTAATATTATATTGTGAATATATTGTTGCCTAATGTAATATAGTTATTATTAATGAAACATCTCATATATTTTATACACATATAGTAGAAAAAGTCTACGGATATTCACAGAATTTTTCTTAAATTACGCATAACTTTTATAATTTTTACTCACATTCATTTTTATTTCCTGATTTATTTTATTTATTTTATTGTTGTTTTAAGGAAACAACAATAAAGTTCCAATATAAAAACTAAACAGTTAATCTTTAAAAAAAAATTGAACACTATTATATGCAAAAGCAGCAATTTTTGAAGTAGAAAAAGTCTACGGATATTTCTTAATATTTACATTTACCGCTAATTTAAATTCGCTTGCAAGCATAAAAGTGTCATTAAATGATATTTAATTATTAGTTGACTTTCTAAAAAGTCTAAAAATTAATCATTTAATAATATTTTTTTATATAAGCAATAAATTATTACAATATAAAATAAAAGACGTGAAATTAGTTTTAGTGAGCGACAAATAACTGTTAAATTTTAGAAAGATGACGTAAGCCAAAGAAAAATAGCTGAAGATATTTGTCGTCAATATTCATCTGTGCAGAGAATTACAAATAACTTCAAAGAGACCAGTACTTACGTTTCTAAACTTCGCACTCGCCGCCCCTCAATTCTGTCAAATAGAGAAAGACGTAGCATAATCAACCAGGTGAAAGTAAATGCAAGAGTAACAGCCTTCAAACTAGCTGAACATATTGCCGAAATACTTGAAAACAAAATATGTCCTAAAACTCTGCGGAAAATTTTGAAGAAATGCATGTATTATACCCTGATTGCAGGAAAGAAGTCATAGATATCCAGATATAATAGAATAAAATGCTTAAGCTTTGCAAGAAAGCATATAAATAAACCCATAAAGTTCTGAAAATAAGTTATTTTCTCCGATGAGAGTTAATTTTACATACTTTGAATCAAAGTTAGATAACTTGTAAGGAGAAAATTATGCACAACCTGTGATAAACAGTAAATAGTAAAACGTGGTGGTGAAGGCGTAATGATTTAGGGGTGTATAGCAAGTAATGGTGCGGTTAGACTTGAATTTGTACAAGATACAATGGAGAAATATGTCTATCTAAATATTCTAAAAACAAATTTGAAAGAAAATGTCAGAATGTTAGGACTTGAGGCAACCTTTTTGTTTCAGCAGGACAACGACTCTAACCATATAGCACCAATCGTACGGATTTGGATGCTGTACTATGCTCTCAAGCAACTTCAAACACTACCAGAATCACCAGTCCTTAGTCCTATAGAACATCTGTGGGTTTATTTGGAAAATAAGATTCGTCAGCATATGTTTTCCAGTAAGGATATAGTAAGAAACGTCATCAAGGAAGAATGGCTAGAAATAAACGCACAGGATACTGCAAAGCTAGTTGAGTCCATGCAAAGACGCTTAACAGAGGTTATTAAATGCAGAGGTTATCCCACAGGCTATTAAATTTAAGATTTTTGTGAATTTTATTGTTTTAATGTAAATATTAAGAAATATCCGTAGACTTTTTCTGCTTCCAAAATTGCTACTTTTGCATATAATTGTGTTTAATTTTTTTTTAAAGAATAACTGTTTAGTTTTAATATTGCAACTTTATTTTGTTTCCTTGGTTAAAATAAATCATGAAATAAAAATGAATTTGAGTAAAAATTAAAAAAGTTATGTGTAATTTTAGAAAAATTATGTGAATATCCGTAGACTTTTTCTACTATGTGTATATATATAAATTCATATTGTAGTGATGATTCTCGTATACCGATTTGTTTAAATAAAAAGAATCGAATCATTTCAATTATGTTTTAAGACTGTTTTATTAATTAAAATCTTTTTACAAAGTTGGTATTTGTGGAGGAGCAGTGTGCATTAGCATACTGTGAGAATTTGCTGAATTGGCGTCTTCACACGCCAGCCCAAACACTATCGTCAAACGGACGGTAGGGGCTCATATTGCAAAAATGCAATAAAGGTATAATAAATATCAGCATACTTATTTACTCACATAGTGTATGCTTATGCACGCTACACCTCCTGTTTTAAAGGAATAATGTAATAAAATTTTTAAACAAAATTTTATGTAATTATTAATAATTGATTATATATTAATATATTATTAATATATTGCTTATATATTGCTTATTTTTTTTTTCATTTAATTACAAATATATTTCTCATATTATTTCAAATATAGTATATACATTTACATCCACATATCCATTCATGCATTCATTCATTACTATATATATTATTTTGATTTAAATTTTAAAACTCAAATTTTTTTTTCCTTTAACCAATATATGGTTTTAACCTATTTTTGTGCACTTTTTGTGTTTTGCCCTTACTATCTACTATAACTATATTATTACCTATTTTCATATCTTTAACTAAATATGGACCTATATATTTATTTTCTAATTTATGAGCTACTTCGTTTTTTAATAAAGCCTTATCTCCTATTACTAATTGAAAACTATGTAAATTATTATCATACCTAAGTTTATTTTTTAATTTTGATATATCGAGGATTTTTCTTGCTCTTTCATAAGCTACTTCTAATCTGTATTTGCTTTCTTTAGCATAATCTTCTATATTGTATAGTGGTTCTATATTACCACTATTGAAATCATAGAATTTCCTTGGAATACGTCCATACAGGAGTTCGTAAGGACAGTACCCATGTGCTAACGATGGTGTTGTGTTAAAGCAATACGTGAAGTATTTAATCCAAACATCCCAATCATCTCTATTGACTGAGATGTAAGATCTTATATATTCATTAAACGTGCGGTGACTGCGTTATAGAGTACCTAGCGTTTGATGATGGTGGGCTGTTGATGTAATATTCTCGATATTGAGATATTTACATAAGTCGTTCATAATTTGGTTTTTGTACTCTGTACCCATGTCAGTTAGAAACCGTTTCATGGGTCCGTACTGTGAGATAAAATTTTCGAAAATTGCTTTCGCTATAGTCTTGGAACTTTTATTTGGAACTGGAATAGTTATCAAATATTTTGTTAGGTCACATAATAATGTGATTGCATAATCATTGCCGTTCTCCGTTTTTGGGAGTGGACCAATGGTATCTACTAACACAGTGTCAAATGGAGACATAGGCGTTTGCACTTCCGTTAAAGGCATTTTCGTATGTCTAGTTGTCTTGGCCAGTTGACAACTTAGACATTTTTTTACGTACTTGGTAATAGTTCTTGTCATGTTTTTCCAGTAGAATCTTTGTTTTATTTTAGTCAATGTTCTGGTAATTCCAGTATGACCTCCTACTGCTGGATCATCATGATATTGGTGAAGAATAGCTTCAATTGCCGACTTATTATTTTCGTTTATCTTTGTCACCTGTGGTAATAGCGCTATTTGAAGATTTGTTAATGTTTTGTTGCCCATTTCTTTAAAAGAATTTAGCGATACAGATTTAAAAATCTTTTCGCAAGGTGCCATTTGTAAATGTTTAATTTTTAATTCACCGGCTTGTTGATCAAGCCTTTGGAATAGCAGACCCAGGTCTAAATTTCCATTAGTGATTAAATCATTAACATATATGTGTTTTAAAATTCTTTTCCCATGCTTCAAGAAACAATTGTGGGATGATAATTTTAATTTTACACATTTTTTAACGTCGTTACTACTAACGACTTCATAAACTTTGGGCTTATCATGATTTTGATGTGTCGGTCTTATTAAATTTGTGTCTGCGCAGACTTTTTGCGTATTCTTCCTTGTTTCAGCTCTCGTTGTAACTTTCAGTATAGCTGAATTTGTGTGATTCTGGTCCTTCAATTCATTTATGGTTATCCGAGACAAAGCATCGGCTACTGTATTTTGTTTCCCCCTGAGAAACTCCACTGTGAAATCGTATTCCTCTAAATCAAGTCGGATTCTTGTTAGCTTGGAATTAGGATTTTTCATTGAAAACAGATAAGAAAGTGGTCTATGGTCTGATTTTACTAAAAAATGTGTTCCGTATATGTACGGTCTAAAATAGTTGATTGCCCAATGAATTGCTGTTAATTCTTGTTTCGTAGTAGATTTATTACTTTCTCCCTTAGTGAAAGTTTTTGATGCGAAAGCGACTGGTAGTTGGTGTCCATCGTATTCTTGACTGAGTACAGCA